ATACTAATTAAGAATATATATATATATATATATATATATATAGTTCTTCTCGCTTTCTCATCATGTCACTTTATATTAAATGCATTCACGCATAATGATTTTTGCTTTCTGGAATGTTAATAGTCGATGAAGAATTCATCTATTACATCTGAGTTTGTTCAATGTTATTTTTACCATGCATAAAAATTAAATTGTGTGCCTTAAATCATTACTTAGAATTTCGTTGTGTGAACCTTCTAATAAGAAGGTACAATCTAACCCGAAATTCATTATTGCATTAACTTTAAACGCATTTAGTAAAAATACATTTGATAAACTGATATTGCAAGAGCAAAAAATTCGTTTCGTTCAAGCTCAATATTTCCATATACTATACATTTTTCCAATGTACATGTTGATGTCTTAGGTTAGTATAGTTGATTATGTTGTATTCTGTAAACAACCTTATTAATGTAAACTCATCCAATAGCTTAAGTTTTTGGGTTGAATTGGTTCTTTATATGGTATCAGAGCCTCGTGTTGTGTCCCGGGTTCAAACCTCGTCGCCCCTCACTTTCTCTTGTAGAATTTCTTAGCACAGGTAGGTTGGGCTTGTTGCATCATCCACTCTTCAAGCCCAATGGGCTCTCGTGTGAGGGGGCGTGTTGAGATATATAGTCCCACGTTGGTTGTATGAGCAACTAATGTGGAGTTTATAAGGCCTTTAACACTTTCACCCTTTGAGCTAGCTTTTGGGATGGTGTATCCCAAGGTTTTTTACATATTCATTGATCATAATTCATAGATAAAAAGACCGAATGTGTCTGTAGGGGTGTGCACCGCGAGTGTGATGAACCAATTCTCCTAAACAGTTTAAGTTGTTGGTTGAAAGTATTAAATTATTTTATATTATATTTCGCTAAAGTTATGAACTAAGAAATTGAAGTAGGAAATTGAGAGGAAAGAGCCATAAGCATGAAAAACAATTTTATGAGCCGAGAGTGGGAGTTATGACATTAACACAGCCTAATCAAGTACAAAGAAAGGCAAATGTGTTATGATAAGAGACTTAATAACATCATGTATTACTCATAGCGTTTGCGTTTGTCATTTAACATGACACAACAAATTTTCCTACACACACAACATTTTCTAAGGCCCACATTTTTTGAAGAAAAAAGAAAAAAAGAAAATTACGGCACGCAAAACAAATCTCTATAACATTACACAATTACTTTTTCTACGACATAACTCTGATAAAACTCTTACTTATAACAACTTAAACTTTTGGAGAGTTGGTACACTAGAAGATAATATCTGGTGCGAGTTCAAATTTTCTCTTGAAGAAGAAATTTTTTGTAACGACTGCTTTTCACCATGTACTCCCGAGGTACATAGTCAAAATATGAAAATCATTTTTTTCTCTGTTCATGTCAACATACAATTTTTTGAAGAGAGAGAATTTTTTTGCAACTTTAACTTTTTATTATATACGTCTTGGAATATATAGTGAAAATCAATTGCTCGCTGCAGAAAAAAATTTCTTCATTGAAAAGAGAACTACATTTCCCTTAAATTAATTAGAGCTATTGAAGCCCTAATATCGCAACTCTAGCTAGTTTACTTTAAATAATTTACATGTTTTCTTTAGCCAGTAGTGTAAAAGTATTTTATAAAAAAAAAATCATGTATCATATTTATTTTGATTTTTTCTATCAATTGTATATAATTATATTCTTCAATTTTAACTTTGGCAGCTTGATGCATGAGACATTAACATATTGACATAATTTGTACGTTGAATAGTACACTAATGGACACATTTCATTAAAATAATGCAATATTATTATGTCAAAAAGGCTGACATTGATATTTCCCTATCTTATAAAATCTTTAGATCGGTATAAACAACAGTTTGGTATAATTAAATTTTTAAGGAGAAGAGCAAAGTTCATTTTTTTTAAAAGAATATATATATTAGGATTGTTTTTAAATTATCAATAAATCACAAATAGATCTAATCTAAAGAGAAAATTTGTGGAAAAAAATAAAAAAAGAGTAGGGCTTTATCTTTATAATTTGTTAAATGGAAGACAACTTATTAATTTAGTTTTTCATCGTAAGACAACAAAGAAATAAATAAAAAAGAAAATTCTTTTCTTGACGTCTATTCCATGCCAGGATTTTGCATAAAGAGGATAGGGTCTTAACCTACCTATGCATGCATCTTCCAAAAACCAGTGTGTAGTCATTCTATTAGAATGACAGCTGAATCACAACCTTGTATCATTTTTCTTTCCACCAAACGAAGACAAACGAACTTATTCTCATAAGTCAAATTAGATCTCGAGTACTCTATGCATTGAATCTCTTAAAAGGTGAAAAATATAAGTCTTTACAAGGTGAAAAATATAACCTTTAACCAAATGAATGAAATGATATAGTTCAGTGAGAGAGAATTGAGTAGGTGGGGTGTAAATATATATTCGATTATTTTTAGTATGTGTTTTAGGGAATTTAAAATCTCAATTCTAAACACGAACTAATCATAAAATAATGAACCGATTGAAATATCTTAATAAATAAATAAAAATAATGTATCTTCCTATTCAGATTGACGATATACTTACGGAAACTTTTTAATATTTAGATTTATTATAATACATCTAATTACGTGCAATATGTTGTACAGTCACCTTTTTCCGCCTAATGAATTTTTTTATGGGTTATATTTATTTTATGTTGCATAGATTAACAAGCTTTATACACACACAAAGTGGAGGTGAGTTCCACAATTATTTTTCTCTCTCCTCTTACATGTGAGTTCCACTTATAATTTTATTTCACTAATATGAATCAATCATTTTCCTACGACATAAGATAAATATAACCCTTCTTTAATAGGATAAAAAAAACACACGAATTCATTATAACCTAGATCAGGCATGAGTATCATCTTGATATGAAAAGAGGCATTTATTATGGAAAATCTCTATTATAATTCATTAGGATTTTGAGTAATTTGGTAAAATATGACTAGCTTACTCGGTAATCTTAACAACTAAAAATCAATGCGAGAAATTCTCGTAAAAAATTGCCAGAAAACAAATAAAATAGAAAAATACTTAATTTTGTCATTGGCCGTACGTGTATCATCAAATATTTTTCCGTTTCTTTTTTCTTTTAAATTGAGACTCGTCAGGTTTGATTGTTTTCTACCATATATATGAAAACCAACAAATTTTTACGAGAAGGATATAATAGCTTGACATTTTAAACCGAACTTACATAATGTAACTAAGGCAACTTGTGTATATCTGTCCTCAACATACATTTCTTTAGCTTAAGCAAGCTATGCATTATTTTCAATATCTTGTGACATAACAAATGGTGACTTTATTCATTATAGCTTCATCTTGCATATTAGCATCTAATAAATTAAATGATCTTGATTTTTCGAATATTCTTGCTACATAAAATCAGAACGAACCAATATTTAAAATCAGGACGTATATCAAGAGACGCCGATCGATGAGTATTGTTTGGTTAAAACGGTAAACTTTTGACTCAATTTGGCATGCACCGAACCCCGGATATAGTTTGGCTATCATCGAGAGTCGTACATAATAATGAAGAAAATAAAGTCATATAAAGAGAATCATCGCAAACCATATACCTCAACATAAAACAAATTTATAATTTAATGATGTACCAAGTACACACAACAATAACTCATGAACTTAACCTATTTTTGCAAACCATTTCATTTGTTGGATAACGTTCACATTCCATCTTATCGGTTTATATATGCAGAGATCTATTTGATGCTTTTTAATGAGTTTGTAGTTGTGGAAAAGCCTACATGCATATTGGAGGAATTAAATTGAGCCAGAATACAAGTGTATAAAAGATAATAAATATGCCCCCTCGAGTCAATCCAAACTACTTGGTCCTTACTTTGCCTAAAATAACCCAAAATACTTGCAATTACTAACCCACCACCGCTTTCCAATCAAACACTATCACACGCACTATTCTTGACTTTGAAACCCCTCATCCTCCCAACCCCTATTTATTCCTACAACAACCTCTTCCATTAGAATAATCCCACACTTATTTCTACCCCCACTCTTCACCCTCCCATTAATACATTGCTAGCAAACCCAAGTGAGTAAAGAAAGAGAGACCTTTCTCTCCCTTCCCCTCATAGAAATCCGGTAAAAGAAAGAGACAAACTGATCAGAACCCCACCCCTTCCCTTCTCTTCCCTCTCACTGATGAAAGTCCTAGCATTAAGAGCTTTTTCTCTGCCATCTCTGCAACAACAACAAGATTCCTAATTAAGTCCCCAGCATGTATTCCTTTCCATGTTCCATTTGCTTCTCGTCCGGGGGGAATTTCCTTGTACTTTAAACAACCTCTACATACAAAAGCATTTTTTTTCTTTTTTCTTTTTCTTTTTCTTCCTAACTATTAATGCAAAAGTAGTGTATGCAAACGCTATATCTATAGAGCAGGGGATGGGAGACATGGTACTCTCTTCTCTTCCCTTATCATCATTCCCTTTTTATTTATTTCCCTTTCCTTTCTAGTTTATCTTTCTCACAAGTGATTCCTGTTGCCTTTCGTCCATTTTTATATATTTTAATTTAATAACCCTTTTTAATATGTTAAATTCTAATATATGTGAATGATCGATTTAATACATTTTTTTATTTTTTTTATTTAGGAGATGCATGCCAGGATGTTATGTACATGACTGATGGTAACAGATTATTCATTATTATTGCAATAGAATCGTTGAGAGACACTGTTACACAGAGGGTAGGTGAAGAGGCTATATAAGAGAAGGTATGCTATGTTGGTCCTGTGGGTTCAGTTGAGACCGAAAGCAGGAGCCACAAAAAGGGCTGCTTCTTAGATTGTTTTCTCATCTGGTTGGCCGTTTTTGATATCTACCTTTCAGTTCAGTAACTTCCACCACCTCTTTCACACTAGTTAGTTCCCATCATCATCATCTGCATCATCATCATCATGGCTTCCTCTAATAGACACTGGCCAAGCATGTTCAAGTCTAAGCCCTGCAATCCTCACCACCAATGGCAGCATGACATCAACTCCTCTCTCATGTCAACTAATGGATGCCATAGAAGCCCTTACGCTTCAGGTTAATTTGCCAAACTCAAAAATCACTTAAAAATTTCTCTCATTATTCACCATATAAACAACCTTGAAAACCCTTTCCAATTCTGAACACAAAAAGGACAATTATCTTTCCACATATAAGTAGTATCAGCTTGCACTTAAGTTCCACTTTGAAAAATTCATAAGATTGAAATATTGATTAACTTTTTACATAAAATATAGATATAGAGATCCAGGTTTCTAATTGGCATTTCTAAAAAGTTGTGGACTTTATGTTTTCTTTTCTTCTTTTATGTTTTTTGTAACTTAATTGATAGCAGCAGGTTGTGAGGAGAGAAGTCCAGAGCCAAAGCCAAGGTGGAATCCAAAACCGGAGCAAATTAGAATACTGGAAGCTATATTCAACTCTGGGATGGTGAATCCTCCAAGAGAAGAGATAAGGAAGATCAGGGCACAGTTGCAAGAGTATGGCCAAGTGGGTGATGCTAATGTCTTCTATTGGTTCCAGAACCGCAAATCCAGGAGCAAGCACAAGCTTCGCCATCTACAGAACTCAAAGAATCAGAACCCGGAAACCCAACAAAACCCTTCTCCTTCTCTCCCTCCTCAAGTCACTGCACCTAATTCATCCTCATCTTCTTCCTCTGAGAAATCTTCCCCTAAAGAAATAATACCCACCAAGGTTTTTTCCATTGGTTTCTCTAATGTCACCGATGTGGTGTCCAATTCTCCCACTAACTCTGTGAACCAAACCTATTTTCAGACCCACAATGAGTCCACTCTGCTTCCGCCGCCACCACCGCCACCGGCTGATGCTTTCTTCTTCCCAGTGCAACATAACGGACAAGGAGTAATACCTAATGCCATAACATCACAAGGATTTTGCTTCTCTGAGCTCTCTAGTGTGGTTCAAGCTCAATCACCTTGTCATAATAACGTTGGTCCTTGCACTAGTCTTTTGCTTAGTGAGATCATGAACCATGGAGCCTCCTCAAAGAAAGATCAATATCAAGACAAGTCCGTGAAAATAATGCACCAACCCTCACATTTTAATTTCTGTGTCACTCCAACATCTCACACTGCTACTGTTTTACCTCCCATCACTACCACCACCATTACTGTTCCATCCCCCATCATTGCTCAAGTTCAAGGTAAATATTTATTTATGTACATTAATGTGCATGGTAAAGTATAGGAATCTCCTTAACCATTCATTAACACATTAATTAGCACAATGTTACATTCCAAATTGGGCTTAATTAGTAGCTTTTGGCTTTTCAAAATAAAAACTAGTTTTGTAAAAGAAAGAGGGTTATTAGGGCATATATAGATTAGCATGGTATTTGGGTCACGTGTGCATGGCCTCATTGGCTTGAAACTTGAATTGGCTTTTAGCTATTGTTGACTTCTGATAGATAGCTAGTGTGTTTCGACTTGCACATGAGAGATGATTCGGTGTATCTCAGGGATTGGAGATCCAGCTGTTACGGCGAGATCAACGGTGTTCATTAACGATGTGGCGTTCGAGGTATCTGTGGGACCTTTCAACGTGCGTGAGGCTTTTGGTGATGATGCTGTGCTTATCCATGCAACTGGTCAGCCAGTTCTAACAAACCAGTGGGGTGTAACCCTCCAATCACTCCAGCATGGCGCATATTATTATCTGGTCTGCATCTTAATTAACACTCATTTCATAACCAACAGTACTAGTTTTTGTCTTAATTTGTGATGATTTTTTCCCTCTAACCCTCGTTGATGAATAGTTACTGACCATTTTTTTTTTATGTATATCTATATATTTTTTATCGTTTTGCAGATATAGGAAGTAGAAAGCTGAAGGATCGGTCAAGTGAATGGCGTTTTAGATATGTTTTTTTTTTTTTTTTCTGTCTATTTTCGATCACTTTCTCTCACTCCTTTTCCTCCCTTCTTTTATCTTCGTCTCTATGCGTGTAATACTCTTTTAGGGTTATTTATAGGGGTTTCCAGGCACTGCTCATGAGAATGACTTAAGATGGATCTATATTGTTCAAGTATGGCTATCATGACTTTGTTGACCAAAATATGTAATTTTTATTTTTATCCTAAATTAAATTAAAGCTAATTATCTTTATTGCTTATATGATAAGAAGGTGAAGAAAAGGATTGCAAAAAATGGAAGTGAAATAATAAGAAAATCTTTATTCCAGATCATTTAAATATCAATCAAGCTAATAAGGGTTAATATATTTGGTTATCTCTTATAACCCGTTCAAATTACACTAATATAAATGTTTTTACTTTGACATCTAAGTATGTGATTATATCTCAAATTGTTTAATTCTATTTATTTGAGACTTCGAAGTATATATATATGAAATTATCGAGTGAAGAAAATTAACCCTTGAATTAATAACTATTCCCTTTTATCGAAAGTACCATTTTATGTTAGGTGTTACAAAATTTACATTCAATATTTTTTAATCAAGAAATGACAAAAAAAAAAAAGTGTTAGTGAACATAATTATATATCACATGTTTGTGTCTATTTCTGAGAGTAACCCTCAAGATTCTAAATGATAATGTTACATATAAATATTAACGCCATTAAAATCGTTTAGTTTCTTGTAGTCCTTTATAGATAGATCATTTGCAAATACCTTTAAAGGTGCTCTGAGATGTAACACATATTTGATATGAAATGTGACCATTCTTTAAGTCAGGAATGACTTAAAATTAAAGAGAAAGAAAGCAATCGGCTTGCATTGTCAGGGAGAGTTTTATATAATTTTTTACAGAATTCCAAAAATCCTTCACAAATATTTTGTATTAATTATAGTTATGTTCTCATCATGTATAATGACAATAGGTTGCAATTAGTTTCTCTAGCTTGCTTATACCAGCTCACGATAATTTTTTTTTTTTAAAAAAGATTGGGAAAAAATTTAAACCAAAGGGTTGCAGTTTAAGTTCCAGAAATCGTAGTGTAGTCAGATCAAAAACGTTCCAAACCTCACTGTATGCTATTTAAAAGCGCATCTTGTTTACACGATTCAGAAAGGTCTGACCCGAAACGGAATGGTACTAAAGTTTTCACGTAAACTGCGAATTCTTGTCCTCAAATGTGATGAGGAATGACCATGGGAAATGTTTTTCATAACTCACACACTGTTCCTTTCCTATAAAATCAACGAGAGAATAGGAGAGTAGTTGTTGTTGTTGATGAGAGGTCACAGTTTCTGATTAATTGGTTTACGTGTTGTTTGATAACAACAGTGTTTGCTCTCATGTTTGATGCCTCGATTTGACACTGCGATTTCGATATATCATGAAGACTTACCTATCTGCAAATTCAAATTCCTCACACTCCCTCTTTCTTCCCTTTTCCTCCAACCTTTATTATGCTATGTCACACCCAAACATCCCTTTTCTTTATTTTCCTTCAATCTTCTTTTATGCTACGTCACACCCAAACATCCATTTTCTTCTGCATGATATATGATCACAAAATATAATCATGAACAAGAAGACTTCTGGATACTTTGCTCTTTGCAAACTCATATATATATGATGTGAATGGTATCTCTCTCTCTCTCTCTCTGTTTGGCTCTCTTTAATTGGTTTATGTGATGGATGGATATATAGGAAGCATGGTCGAGGAATTAAATAAGTAGCAATATGTATGTATGTGTGTGTCTCACACCTTTTGTTCCCCAGAGAGTTTCTGACTTTCTGGTCACATGGACGTGATGCTTGGTTTGGAACGTACTAAAATTGTGAGCATATTGGTGTTGTGGTGCCGTGGTGATGGCAAAGAGTGATTTCATTATATACTTGTGATTATATCTTCCACGAGGGTGTTAGGTAAAGGAACAGTCACATTGACTTTGATTGGATTCTTCTTGAAATGGATCATGTCGTGATAAAAAAATATTACATTGTAATGTCAGAAAATTATAATTATATAAAAATTAATTAACTACTTATTATATGGTCATAGTATAATTTTATAACTATTTATTTCAATATTTTTTTGTCTCTTCCTTTATTATTAGTTTACCTTTTTATCGTTATGATTCTTCATATGATCATATATATTTCTTGGTAGATAACATAGAGGTATCCCCACACAATTTTCTCCGGCCACCTTACTCTTGGAGTATGGCCCCTAAGACTAGCTCCTTATTGAAATAGGAGATGCATTGGACCATTGTCATCGGAGGAAGGGTGAGACTAATCCTCCTTCGAGAGGGAAGCAGTTTTCCTCTGCACCCCAAAAAATTTCAAAAATTTGCGTTGGCTAAAGTTTGAACCTCTTACTGTAACATCCGGACGCTGACGAAGGCGGGGAGTGATCGCTGGTGCGAAAAGGCATGGACAAGGAGCGGCTCCTGGCAGGCTTCCAGCGACGGGTACATGAATGAATTGAATCAACACCCGAAAGAGAGGGATTTCAGAAACTGTGATGATATGGGACAGTACAATTGGGAATAGCTCATAAGAATTAATTGGTACTACCTATACTAACGAGATGCATCTGTTTTTCGATAGCCCGGAACAGAAGAACTTCATAGTTAAGCGTGCTTGACTTGGAGCAATTCTGTGATGGGTGACCTCCTGGGGAAGTTTTCCCGGGAAGTATGCGAGTGAGGAAAAAACACACTGAAAAGTCTCGTGTTAATATGTGGGGATAGTCGTTGATTCTTGAAGCGGCCGGGCGTTACACTTACCAAAGCAAACTTTTGAATACTCAGTTGTCAACTAAGCTACCTTTAAGCATTCTTGTCATTTTTTTAATATGAGAGGATCCACTCTCAATTTCTTCAATTGCATTTTTTTTAAAAAAAGAGTTAGCTCCCCGCGGGAATAAGGGTATGTGTGCTGAGTCGAAAATTCGTATTGTTTGATGCAAGAGCATCATCGTATTCAATGTGGTAAATGATATTTTTTTAGGGAGATGGCTGCAAGGGTCATATATAGATCTCTGCTGTAATATGCAATAGATTTAAAGTCAATGAAGGGGCATATGTTTACAGTAATATATAGGTTAGGGATTTAAAAGTGTGTATTCGTGATGTGTTATCTAAGGTTTACCAAATATTTGTGATGTTTTTTGATAGAATGCAAACTCTTTAATAAATAACGCTGATTATCTAATGATTCCTATTTTGAATCAGGATATAGCTTTGACCTAATCTTCTGAAACATATGAAATCCGATGTCGAGAACACTTGTAAAATTGGAAAGAAGATTTTTCCTTCATCTGAGTAAATATCAACCACTACTAGTACCAAAAAAAAAAAAAAAAATTTATCAACGTACCTTCATTTGTATGCGAATCAGCAGCTAATATCTACTTGGAAGAAACAAAAACTCATTATGTGCGTGGTATTTCTCTTTGTAATGTAATTAAATAAAAATATATGGATTTACTGTGAATTCATATTGCACATACTAAATATTATTTGGTCAATAATAATCATCACCTAATCTAGATCGAACTGCATAGCCTTTTTGTACAAGAATACTAGGCCAATACAAGCAAAACAGGTCCATCCCCGAATTAAGGCCCAAACATATTCGTCACCTGATGTCAAATCTCCTAATTCAGACAAATTTACGTTTGTCTAAATTTTTTTGGTATGTGCAAGTTATCTATATATATATATATATATATTAATTTGGTTTTAAACATACACTCTTATTTATATATGAAAAATTAACAATATTATGTCGGTGTTTGAGTATATATAATATCTGAGGCTGAGGCTGAAATAATTTAAAGTGTGCTGGGTAAGTTACATAGTCTCCCGGTCATTGAATAATATAAGATTGCGTTCTGGGTCATTATGTCGTGTTTGAGTACATATAATATCCGGGTGTATTGCATTCTCTTACATAACACACCTCACACACGTGGTGAGTGTATTTCCTAACATAAATTATTCAAATGAAAACCATTTCCACAAATCAACAGCATTTGATATTTCAATCTGGGTGCATAACATGATGATGTTTTTGGGTGTATTTCCACTGTTCATATGAAGTTTTTGCTGGGCATGAATCATTTATGTCATCATGTTAATGGCCTAACATGTTTGCCATAGGATTTTTGCTCCTCGATCTTAGTTGGAATACATTGTTTAATTAATTAACTAATTTTGCCTAGTAATTTATCTTTTTCAGAATTTTAAATACATATTTAGTTCGTGCACTTCTGGCTGCTTCATGTATTGATTATAGGCAATATGAGTTGATTCAAATGTGGCCTGAACTGCCAACAAGACAACATTAATATGTAATATTGATTGCAGCTATATATAACGTTCAAGGAAGTTTCTAGGAGATCTAGGGATAGTTCAAACAAAAATATTGTTTCATAAATCCAAAATATTAATTAGAGTTTTCTATCATAATAAATACTATTAGGTCAAGCATATAAATTTTTAGCACTGAACATTAACAAATATGGCTGATTCAACGTTATTCATTATTTGGAATAAATCATTGATATTTATCGCGTGTCTGTTTGTGCTATTATATTATCGTAATATATAAGAAGTACTTAATTAATTAGCTATTCAACTTTTTATTAAATCTTTGATTTATGAGTATTAATAAACAAAATATTTCATTTATATAAAATGAATTTGTTTTTATATATAGAAATAATAGTTTTAATTAAAATCACAGTTCTTTAAGGATAAATATTTTTTCTATGTTATGTTTTTCTTTCTTGAGATGTTTAAAATTGATAGTACAATATTTCATATAAAAATCACGTGAAAGAATAAATAGAAGGGTTTTTTTAATTTAAGCGTTAAATAAAAATAATAGTTTTAATTAAAATGACTGTTCTTTAAAAAGATAAATATTTTTTTCAAATTATATTTTTTTTCTTAAGATGTTTAAAATTGATAGTACAATATTTTAAAATTTTATTTTATATTTTAGAGTCCTAAAATTAATAATAGAGTATTTAAAATTAACTGTAAATGACATTAAAATTGTCTTCTAGAATTTCGTTTATAGTTATTAACGTTAGAAATTTCTTCTTCCACACACAAAAAAAACGTTAAGAAATTTCTATACGTTAAAATAGATTAAATAGTAATTCATTTTATGGAAAATAAAATATAATATAATTTGCCAACTAAGAAACCCCACATTTCCAGCATCGCTGTTTCAATTTGCATCCCATTGTTACCAAAAGTTCCCTGCTTTTTTGTTTTTCGGACGTTGTTCCAAATCTGGATTTCATAACAAAAGTTTGTTTCTTTAATTGTTAATATATATTCACCGCAACCCATTTGAATCTCTGATAGAACAAACATATCAAAATCATTTTTTTTCCCTTGATTTTCTCTCTAACCAAACACCAGAGAGAAAAGGGGTGTGTGTGGCAAATGGGGGCGTACAGAGCTGATGACGATTACGATTATCTATTCAAGGTGGTGTTGATTGGGGACTCTGGTGTGGGAAAATCCAACCTTTTATCGAGGTTCACAAAAAATGAATTCAGCCTTGAATCCAAGTCCACCATTGGAGTTGAGTTTGCAACCAGAAGCATTCATGTAGATGATAAGGTTGTCAAGGCTCAGATTTGGGACACTGCTGGCCAGGAGAGGTGAAGATTCATTTACTCATTCTCTCTTGTCTCCTTCATGCTACAATTGGGTTATTGCATTTTGTTTTGGAATTTTAGCCATTGATTCTGTGTGTTGAGATCGCCTTATATGTGTTTTTGTTTTTTGAAATTTATTTTTTTTAAATTTATTAATGTCCACGATTTGATTGTAATGGATATATGTGGCTTTTGCTGCTCTTGTTTTCCTGCACCCATTTTGCTGATAATTAGATGCATTCGAAGCTTTTCTGGATTTCTGTTTTCCAATCTATTGTTTGGAAAATGGAAAATGTCATAGTAATTAGAAATTAGATTTTTTTTTTAATTTTTTTTTTTGAATTTTATTTGCTGTCACATTGAAATTTGAATTTTATTTGCAGTAGCCTTGTGCTAATATATTATTATTGGACCTCAATACAGTTTTTATTTCCAATCGACATACAAATCTTAGCATTATGCATTGAGTTCTTATTGAAATAATGCTGATGGTTCTTTTGTCCTGCACTTGATATCGATATGTAAACATGTCAACATTATTATTAATAGTCTTACTTGTAGCATCTTTGAAAAAGATGTTGGAGTTGCTGGTAACCATATACTAAGTAATAAAAGACATGAAGTTATCACTTGGCTAGTCTTGCTTGCGAAGGTTACCAACGTCTCAAGTTTGTAATAATAAGATGTCCTAATTACCTTTAAACCATTTTGTTGGTATTACTTGCTCTTATTTGACTTGGGCTTGAAATTGGCTTGTTGTATCAAAATGACTTATAAAATCCTTGCATTGAAGATTTCATGTTATAATAGTTTGAATTCTGGTGTTGCTCAAATGTCAAGATTTTCTCCCTCGTATTTAAGATTGATGTTGGAAAATTTTAATATTATTATTGTTAATATGATTTTAGTAACATGGTGAACATTTAGGAGTAGCTGATAATTGTTTATGGATCATATACTATGTTACTGGCTACCTAGAAATAAAAAAAGTTTAAGTCATGACCAGAGCTAGTATTGTTATGATTACTATAAACTCCACAATAACCAAGCCCTATCTCACTAGGTGGGGTTGTTATTATTAATGCTTGAACTTTGTTGTAATATGGTGACTTAAAAGGAAGTCATTATGGTAATGTTGTTAACAACTAGTTAGCTGAAGAGTTATGAACTTATAGTCATGTGCACAAGGGGATGTCGGTCAGCTCCTCAAGTTGGTTCCTTCTAATCAATGGTGGAGCATGAACCAAAAATTTGGAGCGAGAAGAAGTGTCTAAGACATAACTTAAACATGTTATATGATATCGTATATCTAAAATTTAAAGTGTGGTGTTAATATAAAGCTCACAATGAAATTAAGAGAACCCACTCTTATTTGTTTTAATATAAATCTATTCAGCTCCCTCCTGTCATTCCTAAGCTTCATCACTGCTTGTACTGAAACACTAGTTCAGTGCAATCTATAAACAACTTATATTACCTTTATTTGGTTACATCCTGTGCCACTAGAATTTATTTTCTATGCTCAGCACAGTTAAAGATCCAATGCTGCTTTATTTATGTTAGTTCACTGCTTATTTACCTTTAACAGTTCCTTTCCATTCTGGTTTAGTATATCTAAGTTGAAACTTGAAAATCATAATCATTTCGTTTGAGTCATTACTATTTTCTTTTCTTGCAAACTTCCATCTTTCCAAGGACGATTGTAGAAAAACAGATTGCTTGAGGAGGATGAATTTATAAGTGGAGTGCACAAAAAAACACAAGGAAAAAATGAAAGTAAAAAAGTTGATCTTCCTTTTCCGGTGAATTACATTGATCATTTGATGCATCATTCAGTTTCTTAATCAAGCCTATAATTAAATGCCAGAATAATGTGGATATCTTGTAATGAATCTTGGTAGTCTTGTTGATTCATAATCATAACAAGAATCTTTAGAGTAACATCATAGTAATTTTGGATTCCACATGAATAATTATTTACAATGCTGTATTACTGATTTTACATAAAAGATATCTTAGTTTGCTTTTCCTTTACTAAAGGTACCGAGCAATTACAAGTGCATACTATCGAGGAGCTGTTGGTGCTTTACTAGTCTATGATGTTACCCGGCATGTTACATTTGAAAATGTTGAGAGATGGTTGAAAGAGCTGAGAGATCACACAGATGCCAACATAGTGGTGATGCTTGTTGGGAACAAAGCAGACTTGCGTCATTTGAGAGCAGTTTCAACCGAAGATGCTACAACATTTGCTGAAAGAGAGAATACTTTTTTCATGGAAACATCAGCCCTTGAGTCCATGAACGTTGAAAATTCCTTCACAGAAGTGCTGACACAAATATATCGTGTTGTAAGCAAGAAGGCCCTTGAAATTGGTGATGATCCAGCAGCTTTACCAAAAGGACAGACAATTAATGTTGGGTCTCGTGATGATGTATCAGCTGTGAAGAAAGCTGGATGTTGTTCTTCTTGAGGATTCAGTAAAAATCTATGTACTTTTACTTTAAAACTTTGTCTTGTTTATATCCATGTAGAGATCAGCCTTACAGCATGAAAATGATTGTCTACATAGCATCACTCTAAACTTTCTGCTTTGGACTGTAGAGAAGATCTGTTCAATATTAAACAAATGTTTAGGAAACACGATGCACTTTCATTTTGTTTGGTTCCTATTTTGTTGTGTCTCATGAAGGTATTCATTTATCTAATTTCAGACTTACTAAATGTTTTCCTAGGCTTCTTCACTTTCTTTGCTCCTGTCTATGCATGCATATTCTGTCTATTCATTTATCTAATTTCAGACTTTACTAAATGTGGAAAACATCTACTTGCCTTACTTGTCGCTTTCTGTTTTTCCATTTTTATATATAATATCTTGTCAGAATTTTGAGCGTTTGATTTTATACAGATAATTTTTCAGTGCGATCAAATAAACGAAAAATTAGCAAATGGGCATTTCGGTGCAGTATCAGGATTTCTCGTAAGTAAAGAGAGTAGTAACATAAATTTCAGTAGTTGGGGTGAAGCATTTGCATATACAAAACTTTTGTCTTACATCCACATCAAAACAGTGACAAGAACTAATTTAAGAAAAGCAAAATAACAATTATGTCACGAGACTCGATTATAAACATTAAACTTCAATAGAGCATTGCAAGCAAGGAGAGCTTTCAGGGCACTGTTAACGAAAAGCAGCTCTTATGTGGCTTGATTCTTGTCAATGGCACCTGCAATTTAATGTTTTTATGAACAAATTAAGGAGGTAATATGCACAACATATTGACATCTCTATTTTACGCAAATGCAGATAGAAGTTAATCTAACAAACATTAAGGTAATAAACTGAGGGGAAAAGCCAGTTCTTCTGAAATTTACCCCTTCCCAGGCATTATCAATTTTAACCTTAATTTAATCACTATATTTCAGGCTTCTAACCTGAATTAAACAATCATTTTCAATTTGAATATAAAATTCATGAAATAAGATTTATGAAGTAGAATATATTAGGTTTGTCTGAAATGTGAAAGGCCAAGTAGTAAGTAGATTTACACAGTCCAGTAAGACAAGAAGAACATGGGCCGTTCAATTTGACTAATTCGTTATTCCCTTCTATAGTATTTCTTATAAAAACAAAAAGGGAAAAAAAGATATATAGATAGCTAACCATCCATTTCGATATGATGGGCAGGAAATAACACAAAAGCCAATCATGCAGTTATACTAACAGAATAAAAATAGCCTTGAAACATTAACCGTAAAACTGATGCCTAATGTATGGAAGATTGGAAAAAATGCAGATGAAAACAAGAACTATGCATAGAAATAGTCTAATTCCAGCTTACATATGAATACAACAAACAATATGCAGCCAACTCTACCACAGAGAGATTTAATTCTGTATTTTCAACCCGACCTTTTAAAATGTGACTCCAAAAATCAATCAGCTCACAGAATATCAAATACAAGAATAAAGAATAATCTGTAATACATTAGAAGTGTCAAAAGATGATGAAACATTTGATTTGGACACTGAAAAAATCAGCTCACAGAATATCAAATACTAAAATAAAGAATAATCTGTAATACATCAGAAGTGTCAAAAGATGATGAAACATTTGATTGGACACTGAAAAACTTCTTGTACCATGAGATAAGCAAAGCGCTGAGACTCAATGGATGCAATAAACCCAACACAGAAAATTGAGAAAATTTCGAACGGACATAGCATACTACATTGCCACTTCATTAATGCACCAAAAGGAAAAAGTTTCTGCAAATAACTAGTTCAGCAAAAGAACATAAGGCTTTGCTAGGTTGGAGTGAAATGGATTCGAGGGAAGTGTTTTAGGCTTTATAATGCCCCAATATACAATCATTTTTCACCAGTCCATTTTAATTCAAACAAAGCATAGCCTACGCATGCAATCCTTCAAGGCCATTTTTATATAACAAAGCTATGGTGGCCGGTGCATCAATCCAGAAACCGTAGACCACTCTTCCCGGGACATGTTTGCAATAGAATCACATTTATGGACAGTAATGTTACAAATGTTCATTCATAGATACGTTGTTCATACACAAAAGTCACGTTATATAATAAAATTGTGACATCAAGCATCACCTTTATCTTCATAGACCACAACGTGAAACCACATGAGCCTTGAGGCTTCAAATCAGAAGCAGAAGTCATGTCAGGAGTCCCAAACACATGATCTAACGATAATAAATTACACCATTGGAAGAAAAGCAACACTACCAACCACCAAACCTAATTTTTCATCTTCAACCTCTTCCTATTCTTTTGAGCCAAACAACCCAATTCAAAATTTCACTTTCACAAACACATACTAGAAGCTGTTTCATAGTGATCTATATTTCCCGCTAATAGGACCAAATTCAGCCAAAAAAACCCTTAAAGTTGAATGACCGAAACAAATAAAAAGAAAAACTTTAATACTATTCTGATTCCCAGAAACCCAATTCAAGTCCTATCTACAATTCCCAATCACAAGAACGTCAATTTAAAATTGAAATCAAAGGGTACCCCAAAAAAAAGAGCACTACTCATAAATAAATAAATTAAAGAATCATGAAAGTGAATCAACTCACAGAAAAGAAGGGTTTGATAGGGATGATCATGGGCTAGGTTTCTTCTTCTCATGAGAGGAAGAGGGAGGTGAAGGATCGTTGGAGTGAAACGAGGGTAAGGGATTCTCTCCCTTGATGACCCAACCAAGGGCAAAGAAGGCAGCACCAGCAAGAATGGCAGTGCCCCAAGCGTGAGAGTACCATTTACCGTACTGTCTGGTGGCATACCTCCATTGCTCTCTCAGAGTTGCAGCATCAGGAATCTCTGTTTCTGGTGGGTTTATATGCCTCTTCTCGCCTCTAAATTTGCTTGGTCCATTATCACTGGGAACCCCACTCGAAGAAGAAGAAGAAGAAGGTGGTGGAACAGGGTAATGGTTTTTGGGGTTAGTCTCACTCATGGTGGTGGTACAACTACAAGTAGCTTCATTCGGTGATTGCTTTGAGTTGGGGACAACATAAACTCACAAAATCATATATATTGGAAAATTGATTCTTATCGGTATAAAATTTGGGTTTAAAAGTTTCTCTCATTTATATTTATTCTTAAAATAATATCATTTCGGATTAAAAAATTATAATAAAAAAATTATTATAATCATGAAATAAATTATAATTACAAAACATCTTTATTTTTATTTTATAATAACATCATTTTGAACTTAATATAATTAAATTATTTACATTAATTGTAGAAAACATAAACCATAAAATTTTAGGTAAAAATTCATTTGAAAAATGAAAATTTCAAGTAAAACTAGTTTTAAAATATTTTAACTCAAAGTCGGTATTTTTAAGTTAATCTTATTCCTTATTCTCTTTCTTGTTTTTCCTTTCCTCTCTTGTATAGTTTATTCAGAAAATTAACAAAAATTCACAAGAACTTTTTATTTATAAAAAAAAAAACGAATTCTATCCTTTATATTACAAAACTGTACATATATTAAGTTTGAAGCAGTTTTAAAGCTTTTCGTGGACCGCATGTACTAAAATGAAACGTGTTCTTTATTCTTACTAATATGCCACGTTTCTCAAAGGATACGTGTCATTTTAATATGTTGCCTCAGATCGAGATTTGTTTTGATATATATATATATATATATATATATATATATATAAGTAGGATCCTTTGACATCAGTATCAAATTTCAAATTTGACATCTTATCTGAGAGCCGTTAGATCAAAAAAGATCAACAACTCTGGTTTGTAAGCATGTGACAAGGGGTGTAAATGGGCTGGGCTGGGCTGGGCTTTGGCCATCCTGGCCCAAGCCTACGTCAAAAAAAATTCAGCTTCTCTGGCCTACTGGCCTATTAAAGGCTTTATTTGTAGGTCAAGCCCGGCCCATTTTCAAAAATAAGAAAGCCTGACATGGCCTACAGGCCTTGTAGGCCTCCCACTATATATACTAAGCAAAAATAATAATTGTATAGAGCAAAGAAAGTTCCTTTTATGCATGCACTAGTACTTCTCATAAGAAAAAAATGACAAACAAGAAAGAGTCAACATAATACCTCATCTCTAGAATGTATGTCATAGAGGAATAGAGTCAAAAAAATGGGAAAAATAAGAAAAATACAATTACTGGATGCTGAAATAAAGTCTACAAGAGAATGTCATTCATCTAAAAATCTTTAAACCACCATCAAGACAAGGGAAAGAAGAGTATTATTGAAAGATCTTCATCAGTAACATCATAATCCAGCAAGGTACCCATTGCTCCATGGTATTAAGCTGCAACAACATGTAAAATTTGGAGACATTAGACAAGTTTTCCTTTCATTAAATAAAATAGCACAAAAACTAAGAGATATTGGTATTTGGTACTTTGTGTCTTTGCCACATAAAATAGATATTATTTTATTATTTTATTTTAATAAATTAAATAGGCCAGCCTACAAGGCTGTAGGCCGAGCTTGACAAAATTGGCCTATAACCTATTTATTAAAAAAGTTTTTTTATAAGCCTAAGCCTACTCAACTTTTCTGAAAGGCCGGGCCTGGGCTGGGCTCAATGTAGGCCAGGCCGTAGGCTGGGCTGGGCCAGCCTGACACAATTGATCTTTTTTTATCTAACGGCTCTCAGATGAGGTGTCAAATTGGTGTCAAAGGATTCTACCTCATATATATATATATATATATATATATATATATATATATATATATATGGAAAAACATTTCTTAAGTTGCTTGAGACAATGTTATCTCCGGCCATCCCAAAATTACGTCGTTTTGTTTATTTATTTCCTTATATTAATTGATTCACCTTTGAATGATTATGATTTTCTTTTTCTCTCTCTTCGTTTATCACCGTTGATCCATCTTTGTACGGTTATGATTTAGTAGCCGGAGATAACATTGTCTCAAGCAGCTTGAGAAATGTTAAGCCCATATATATGAGAAAAATATTTCTGCAGTTACTGCAGATAAGTTATCTGTATTTATTTTCAAAACGATGTTATTTTGGTATTGAAATCTTAAAAAATTATAAATATAAAGACTATTATAACCCTGAAATAAATTAAAATTACAAAAACACCATGATTTTCGTCCCAAAACGACGTCGTATTGAACTTACTGCAGATAACTTATCTGCAGTAACTGCAGAAAAAGTGAACCATATATATATATATATATATATATATATATATATATATATATATATTTCTGTATTTACTGCAGATAAGTTATCTGTATTTTCTCCCAAAATGACATGACGTTGTTTTAGGATTGAAAGATTAAAAAATTATAATTATAAAGACTATAATAACTCTGAAATAAATTAAAATTACAAAAATACCATAATTTTTGTCTCAAAACGAGGTTGTATTGGATTTACTACAGATAATTTATCTGCAGTAACTGCAGAAAAAACAAACTCATATATATATTTATTTATTTATTTATTTATTTACTTCTCTCCCTTTTAATAAAATTTGAATAATAAATATTTAGAACAAAATATTAATAATTAACCTATGTATCATGAAAATATCATTAAGAAGGTTTTCCCCCCCTAGATGGATACTTCTATGATGAATAACTTGGTGTCAATTTAATGCTATAGTCCAATTTATTAATGCATATTTCCATTTCCATTTACTTGCCTAATGTATTCCTATGTGGTGCTAACGCGTGCTTACATCAACTTAAAAGTTTCTGCGATGAATCATCCATATTCTTTCTTCTGAGGTGATTGCATCTGCGTAGACATTCTACGATCTGATTATCTTATTTCTTTAAATACTTGCTGGACTTCACATGATCACTCGTGCAAGGAGAACTGTTTCAACAAACTGATGAGTTCTTGCAGTCAGTGTTCAAAATCCAACAATCATATTTTGTAGATAAAAAGTGCCAACATGTTGTAGCAATTTTGGTTTATCAGTGCGTATTTATGAGATGTATTGTATTTCTTGTTTTTGTGGAACACTGCCCTCAGACATTCAATAGCTAGGATAAGCGTGAATCCAATGTCCTTGCCAACAAGACCTTGCAACATTGATTTAGCTCATTAGATGTGGTGACAAAATGACATCAGTTTGCTTCAATTATTTCATTTTGTAGTACTTGTCTGCTGTCAAAATTATGTCTGTTGAATAGGATCCTCAGTTAGAGTCAAACTGCCATGAGTTGTTTATGGAAAAAAGAGAAAAAGAGACATGTTGTCTTTTCAAAATTCAACGTTCAATACTATACTTACATTCAAATATTACAAATAATTCAAAAATTAACAAAAATATTTTCATGACTAAACCATATATATAAGTACAACTGGGAATGGCATTGGATCACCAAGTCCACTCCTCTTCTACCCTTCAGGCAAAACCATTGTTAACGCTAACAATACACTTTCCAATGCACTGAAAGCCAATCAATTCATCAATTTCTATAATGAATCAGATTTTCTAAAGCACCTGATTGCATCTGAAGAGGGAGAAGAATTACAAAAGAAAATAAACTAAAACTCATTGAGGCTCTACCTTTGCTGATGGGAAAATTCCACTATAGCTAAAATCTTCGTTGCCATAAGGATTTTTAACATTCCCCCCGCTTGCTTCCTCATAAGTTTCTGATGTTGTAGCTGATTCAGCATTAGGATTGATTCCAGCAAACCCGATTATGTTCTCAATCTCTTTTACAACCTCAGCCATTGTAGGCCTGTCAGCTCCATATTCTTTGACACACCTCATTGCCAGTCCCACAAACTTTTCTAGACCCTTTGGGCTTGTGACTTTGATTATGGAGGGATCTAGAATGGAATGAAGGTTGTATAAATCTTTCGATGTATCCATTACCCTCATTACCTCTCTTACAATATACTTTCCTTGCTCTATTGGCCTTCTTGCTGTCACTAGTTCCAGCATTAGCACTCCAAAACTATATACATCGCTCTTTTCAGTCAACTGTTGGGTCATGTAATATTCAGGATCCAAGTACCCCTATGAGAATAAAAGGAAATAAATTTGCATCAGCTATCCCTCTTGAAAATATCAATAAAACTAAATTTCAATATATATATTGATTCCATTTCTGATTTATTAAACCAAAACTTTCTTCAAACAGTTTTAAGGTTGTTTACATTCTTAGCACTCCATAAAGAGGGATCAAGATGAGAACACGAGCAGTGAAGTTATAATTGTGTTGTAAGTAGCCTTTTTCTGACATTCAAAAGTATCCGGAAAAGAAAAAAAAGACAAAGGGAAAGATCGATTGTACGCAACTTTACCCTTACATTTTTGCAAAGAGGATGTTTCCTGCACTCAAACAGTCAAACCCATGACTTTCATTCACCGTTATCCCCAAAATTTCATAATTTTTTCCCTTAGAGGAAATTAGTTTGATTGCATAGCCACCAAGCAAAAGATGATTCATGTGTATGAAAATTTAAAGGCAGAGAACCATTTAACTATTGAAAGTTTGGTCACTATTAAACTTAAAATCCCTTTTAAATAAAGATGTATGCTGCTGCATAAGTAGGAGTAAAAAGCATTTTATACAAACCATTGTCCCTTTGACTTGAGTAGTGACATGGCCCCTTTCACTATCAACAAGAAGTTTGGAGAGACCAAAATCGGCAACTTTTGCATTGAGGCTATCATCAAGTAGAATATTGCTTGATTTTATGTCTCTGTGTATGATTGGTGGGTTAGCAAGTTCATGAAGATAGGCCAGACCCCTGGCTGCACCCAATGCTACTTTTAGCCTCCGTATCCAATCCATCCAGATCCCAGACTTTCCTGCATTGACAAAATCAAATAAAGAAAATTAATTGAGATATGTGCCAGGCAACTTGAAAGACTTTTGCTTTATTGGATCATTGAAGTGGTTGTTGTAAAAGTATATCAGTGGTAACTAAAGCTTGAACCCAGAAGAGCTAAACAAAGTTGCAGTCCAGTTGAAGCATAGAGTTAATATGGTACATACGGAGTGGTAAAGGAATTGGAAGTACCTGAAAGACTATCCATTATATCGCCATTTGGAATGTACTCATACACCAGCATTTGTTCACCCTTCTCAAAACAGAAACCAACAAGACTAACAAGATTCTTATGATGGACCCTTGATAGAAGTTCAATCTCAGTTTTAAACTCAACAGCACCCTGCATAGATTCTTTTGCAGCCCGTTTGACGGCAACCAACTCCCCAGCAGGAAGTACACCTCGGTAAACCTTGTGAATGAGGACTAATTAGATCTTGCAGAGCAGTAAACAAGAAGAGAATAATTTGGGAAAATACTTGGATGTTTCTGACACAAATGTCAGAAATAAAATTCTTTAAATTTGAAAAGATATGAGAATTTCTTCTAGGAAAGTTAAGTGAATCAATTGTTCTGGAAAAAAAGAAGAAGGAAAAATGCAGTCATAAGATGTCATTAATGAAAACCTTTCCATAGCCCCCAGATCCAATGGTATTGTCTTCTGAGAAGTTGTTGGTGTATTTCTTTAGATCTTCAAAAGAAAACCATCGTGCTCCTTTCAATTGAGGAGCAGTGCCACTATTCTTGTTCAGTTCCCAATTTGCTGCATTTAAAATAACATTGAATCGATTAAAGACTACTAGAAATATTCCTTGCAAGGAACAAAATTAAATCAAGCTTGCAGCAATCATTTCTTACCGAAAGGATTGAACTCTGCAGATCTGTTTGCTCTTCTTGTTTGGCGGAGGGCATATATCCCTACAAGGAGTGCTAGTACAAGAAAGACCAAAACAGCAACTACTACACCAACTATAACCCCTGTATGTGATGAACTTGATCCTTTAGGTTCTCCTAAGTGACATAAGAGTGACGGAGTGAGAAAGGAGAAATAGCATTGTTAAACATAACGGACAAAGAATTTAGCATTTTTAGTTTATAATGAGACATGAATCACCTCCGTAGTATCCATAATTATTTCCAGTGAAGCTGTAAGGGGAGAAAAATTCTGGGGGTTTGTAAATTTGGTTGCTGAGCACAAAAGCAACACCTGAAACTCCAGTTCTATTGAAACTAACAGTTTGAGATGGGAAGATATTCAGATCCATTTGAAAATAACCAGTGGATGAATTCTTGAAAGGATTACTAAGAGAAACTGAATCCACTGGAAGATCTTGGGCTCGAAAAGTATTTAGAAGAGTCTGCTCAAGATCCTTGTAGTAACTTGTGTTACTAAAGTTTGAGAAACTAAGAGCTCTGGATAACAGAACTCCAGTGTATGGATATGCACATATACAGTTGGGGCTAGAAATCTGATTGGAACTGCAAGATGGAAGTGAACAATTATTTAATGGTGTTGAATATGAGGGCATGGCTTGGGGCTGTTGGCAGTAACTATTTTGAGAAGCTCCGTTTTCTAAACAAATTTTGTTGCCAGCCAGTCTGCAAAAACATTAGATAACTGTCTCAGAGAAGAAAAGCCAGCAGCTAATAGCTGTAAAAATCAAATAAAAATATGCTATAGCATATCATGCATAATGAAGCTTACATCAGTTCAAAAATTATTGGTTTGCTTCCCTTATTGAAGTCCGTTATTCTATTATTCTCCAAATTAATGAGTTGCAGACTGTTGCTATAGCCATTGCTAAGATTTAATGCGCCACTGAGCTGGTTGTCCGCCAGTATCCTGTTACCACATTTCAGTACAATCACAATCACCACATATTCATAATCATCATTTGTTCATATAGCCAAGGAATAAGCTAGCTACATAAGGGTATATCTATATGTTTTAAGTGTTTTGTTTCACAAGATAGTTATACTATACTCACACATACTCCAAATTGAACTGATTAAATAAGGTTACACGGAGACAGAAATTTAACCCGGGAGTCAGGTTTTTGGAAATATTCTACCATGTACACAATAGGCTTGGTTGCATGGATATGATATGCGTAACCATACACATACAGGTACTGTGTGGGGTGGGACCGTAGGACATTTATGCATCCTCTACTACTATACTTTTTCGGTCTAGTGGATTCTTCTAAATAGTTGGTATAATTATAATTCAAACATGTAATTATATACCTATCAATTCTCAGCATGCTTGTTGATGCTATACTAAACCCTTATACGGATACAAGCAAAACGATCCCAAATACGCTCAATGGGGAAGGTATAAAAATTATCCAAGTATACATGGTACTTGCTCATGTGTACTTTTATTAGTTATGCACTTGACACCATCAAACCTAGGTGGTGATGTTTGGGGATACATTAAGTCAGACCTTACCTTAAATGGGTTTGGCTTATTTCTCAAACATAAACATAAAGGCCTGAACTTGACTTCTTTATTGTGTATAGACCTGAAGTCTACCAACACAAATATTATTATTGAGGTGTTCAATAAAAAAAAAAAAAAAATTACTAGTGAATGAACCAACAAGTTCAACTAGATTTTTAGTAGTTTAAACTTAAAAGCGGTTTAACTGTTTCATGTTGTTATGTCAGACTTTTACTATGTATTCTCCTTTCTATTTACGTTTACCTTCCAAAATTTTAAAGTTCTGCCGTTAGGAACGGCAGTTATATAGGATTATCCAAAACTTGAGACCTATTTTACTCTTGAAACGCAAACACGACATGCTCAGACATGACAAAAAAGTGTGAAGAGAGAGAATTAGAGACAGAAATGTGAGGAGGAAGGAACAACATACACAGTTGTCAGCTCTGCCAGATTTGAAGCCCATGAAGGAATACCAGAAGAATTAAAACTATTGTTGCTCAGATCCCTGCAGATAGTTTTCCATAATGAAATATAAATTAAAATCGTTGCATTATGCATGAATTATATGCCCATGTTTTGCATCATGTTGTTGTATTAATGTAAGTGGAGAGAAAATATTGTTGTAAGCATTTCATCTAGGCTATATGATCAAAATTTTACATACTTGATCCTAAACTTTCCATGCATTAATAAAATATAATAGAACATCACTATTTGACTACTTACACATAAGTGAGTCTATTCATTCCAGTAAGATCGGGCAGTGAGCCATTCAGCTTGTTTTGACTTAAATACCTGGAAAAATATAGTCATTGCCTTCTCTCAGCAAAATTGATAACCGAGACAATTTTTACAGATAAATATGAAGCTAAATAGGGAATATTTCTTTAGTTTTCTTACAGCTCACTAAGTTGTCCGAGATTGTTGAAGTTTGAAGGCACTCCCCCGCTTAATTGATTCCTATCAAAGCGCCTGTGGTGGAGAGAATATTCAATACAGAGAAAGTTCAAAGAAATTGAGAGACAGTATAATTGCATGAATGAAGTTGCTTAACACTGGCAACAATATACTTACACCACCTCCAATGTGCTCACAAGACTAACGGTGCTTGGAATACTACCCGTTAGTTGATTGCTATCAAGAAGCCTGGCAAAAAAAATGGAAGGGAGGATTATGTCATCTTATGTTTATTTGAAAAGTTATACTGTCTTTGATTTTGTGACATGAGGACCCTTGACTTTCCATGCCTTTATTTTGTTTTGAAATTCCCGAAAAAAAATAAAAAATACTACAAGATATATTGAAGCTTACACATGTTCTAGAATCATTTTGGAGTTAAAAAGTTTTGCTGGGATTGGACCAGAGAGCTTATTGTTCCCCAGATGACTGCAAGAAGTGGACATAAACATGGATCATTCAGTAAAATGGAAAATATTCAGTGATTTCAGTCACATAGTGTAATTATATCAACTGAAAGCTGATAATTAAGAATTGACTTACAAATGTTGGGCCTTAAGGAGCAGGTCAAGACCTTGTCCTCCTTGGTTATCAGAGACAGGAATAGACCCATCAAGCTGGTTATCAGTAAGATCTAGCCAATTAATGTTGGTTAGATTGCCAAGAGAGGGTGGAATACTTCCATTGAACTGATTAGAATTCAGTGCTCTGCATGAAAAGCAATAAGGTGAGAAGTGATTCATAATTTATCATATATTAGCCCAAAGAAGAAACATTGAGCTTCAAGGTTAAGTTGGATAATTTTAGGAAGTGAACAAGAAATGAAAGGTGCACAACCAACAAAAGATGTTACATGTGAAGCATCATCCTTTGTTACAGTGGAATAACTTGGACTCTAATAATTTTGATGTGTGTAGAGACCTTCTCATAAATGTAGTAGCAGAATTATTAAGATGGGATTCTTACAGAAAGGTCAGCTGATTTAAAGATCCTAGTGAATCTGGAATTTGACCACTGAAACCACAACCAACCAGTGCTCTGGAAAACAGTTAAAAAAGGAACAGATCAAAAAGCGTGCTATGTTTTTTTATAACAGGGAAAATAAAAGGTCAAAGTGGCAGAAAAGTTATAAGAAAGCAGGAATTCAATCAAAAGAAATTCAGTTTGTATTCAAATTATTTATTACAAATCTAACTGCCTTACAGGGATTGCAGCTTTTTCAAACTCCCAATTTCTTTTGGAATTGATCCTGTCAAGCCCGTATTGGAAGAAAGATCCCTATTTGAACAAAAACAACATGTTATTAACTATTTAATTTAGCTACAATTGAGTATTGCATCCACAAGTAACCTAGTCACAATAAAATGTCCTTTTTGGGTGGTTATTCAGTTAAAGGAAATGATTTGGCAACTTTCATAATCCAAAAATCATGATGTTACTCAAGGTACCAAATCAGGAAAAGGCTATTCTAAAGTGAGCAACTAAGGATGTATTTATAAAGCTTTAGATTAAATTAGAGGTATAAACATCCTTACTTATTCACTTTAGAAACAAGCTCAATTTAAAGGAGCCTTTTCTAATTCCAACAAATCACAAGCTCAGAAACATTTTAAGCATCCAAGGGTTTGAAGAAGAATTTAAGCTTAATTAATGGTCACATTAGCTCTGTTTATAACTTATATGAAAAGTAGAACACGTACAGATTTACTAGTTCAGATAAAGACTGGATTCCCGAAGACAGCTGGCCAACCAAATTAAAGCTTGATAGTTTCCTGAAAATAATAGCAATCTTTTCAGAATTTTTTTCCAAAAAAATAGAAAGTAAGAAACAATCTTGATATCAATTTGAAGGGGCCAAAGAAACCAAAGAACTAACAAATCGGTAACTCTTGAATTGGTGCAACTAATTCCTTCCCAACCACTGCCACAAGGATCTGTACCCACCCAAGTTGCTGGTTTATTACTCCAGAATTGTGTGAGAGATACTAGGCCAGAAACTGCAGCGGTACAATTTGCATTAAAAAAAAATTGTCAAAAAGAGACTACGTTCTCATACAATACTGCATAGCTTTCTAAATACTCAAAAATTTAACTCCTAAGAGAGTGGCTGCATTTAGCTCTTGACCACAAATTACGATGAAAACTATAATAGAATGCAACCTATACAGTCAAGTCACACTGATATTTCAGAAATCAAATAAATAAACAACAAAAGGCAAAAAAACCTATTATTAGCAGCAAAGGAGCTTCCAGTATACAAACTATAGTTTTGTACATTAGTCAATGATATAAAAGATTAACTGTCAAATTTTTCATAGTTAAGAAAATTTTGTTTTAGGATCTTGATGGTATAATATATCTTCCACCCACTTACATGCATAATCACAGATTTTCACATTCATGATGTTGAGATGGAGACAGAAAAGAACCTAAGTTTAACTGCATATATAGATATTTTTTGTTTGCTGTAGATTATGTCTTTATATGCAAGAAATATGATAAATATACATCAAACACCAAACAAAGAGCGAAATATCACAAAAAATTGAATTGGAACTTACCGTCTTGAGTGGCTGTCTGCCCTGAAACAAGCAGAACTTGGAAAAGAAGTAGCAGCAGAAGAAACACTTTATGTTGTTGGTCCATTACTCAATATTAATTTTCTGATGTTGGATCAGAGATCTAATGTTAAAAACTTTTCAGATGGAAAAGCAAGGACCACGAAATAATCAAAATGGAGGAGTTGTCCATCATCTTTTAACAAGGGAACAAAACTGAATCAATAGACTCGGTAGACTCAGACGCGCCTTCAAGATGGCTACCTAATACCTGTTACTAAGTCAATGGCTTTTGCATGTAAATTTTCAAAGGTTAGAATGGGATTTAACTACTAAGATTAAAAAAATATATGAAAAATTGTTCACACGGTGGCCACTAACCGTTATCATATTCTTAAATATATTTCAACAAATTGTCCATAACGACATGGATGTCTAAGAACTTTTCATAGTCTTTGTGATTCTGATTGCTTACCTCAAATATTTAGAAAGAAGAAAGCTACAAGAAAACATGAAGTGTTGAAATAAACAACCACATAAACAAAGGTTTATTTTGGTTTTCCTTTCATCAGCACCCTTTCAATATTAAAAATAACTCAAAACTGTAGGTAGTTTATGCAAGGTTAAATTAATGATGATAAGAAACGGAGGAAGGATAAGCATTATCAAATTATTAGTAAATTTTCTGAATACTGTCTTGCTTTCATCTATAAACTCAACCTTGTGTTTTTTAGTTCATGACAAATGAAAATTATAGTACAGGACCAACAGCGGAGCTAGAATATTTTTTTTAATGTTTGCACACTTAGAATAAAGAATAAAGGAAAAAAAAATTAAATATATTAAAATACAAAAGAATATAAACAAAAAAATAAAAGAAAACTTTAACTTAATATAACAAAAGTAATCAAGAGTGAATTAAACTGTTACAATAGAACATTTTGGGTCCTTAACAAAAATTACGAGGCTCAATTTAATCTCTTAGAAAAAAAAAGTCTACTCATGATCTCTCAGAATTCAAAAATAGACTTAGATAATCAAAATCATAGTCTCTGAAATTAAAAAAGATCTACATTAATCCTTCAAAAAGACTAACATGGGTCTATTTTAGAATTTAAAGGGATCAGGAGTCGACTTTATTTTTTAAAAGATTAAATTGGATCTTGTAATTTTTAGTGATGACCCAAAATATATTTTATATATTTTTTTTCTCCAAAAAATTTGTGTGCACTTGCACACACTTACACTAACATAGGTCCGCCACTGTATAGGACAATTGACCACCTAGTTTGCCGTCCAAGATGATGATGATGGTAATAATAATAATAGAGAAAGGATCCATTTATAAATTTTTTTGAATTTTTTTTATAAATTACAGTATGTTCTCCCGGGATAATATAGTAAAATTAGTGTTCTCCCGGGAGAACATAGTGTAGTTTGTAAGAGTTTGTAAACAAAAAAGTTTGTAAATATAACTTGCCCCATAATAATAAGGGTAAAGAATTTTTCCGGTCAACGGAGATAAGTTATCTTCAGTGAATCCAAAACAATGTAGTTTTGGGACGGAAATCAAGATGTTTTTGTAATTCTAATATATTGAAGAGTTATATTAGTCTTTATCATTATAATTTTTTAATCTTATAACCCAAAATAATGTCGTTTTGAGTTCACTAAAAATAACTTTATTTTCGTTGATCGGAGAAATACTTTTGTCTAATAATAATTGCGTAGTTGCAATTAATAATAAGATATTCTAATACGAATAATTTAGTCTCAAATTGGCTTATGCTAACGAAATGCAGAGAATAAACAAAAAAATGATTTTCTTTTTAATTTTTTTTTTTTTTTTATATTCAAAGCTTATAAAATTGCATAGCTGTTTGGACAGGCTTTAAGCAGCTTATGATTTTTGTAGTTGAGCAAGTTGGAGCGGCAACAAAAGTGGATGTGACTCATGTGAGGGATACACGAAGTTATCTACCAGACAAAAACAAAGAAACAAACATTTTAACTGTGTAATATCCTCCTCTTTGTTTTTACAATAAGAGGTAGCTGGCCCAATTTAATACCCAAATTTAATTTTTATATCACATTATATATTTACTTAAATTATATTACTTTTATTGCATTAAATTTTCCCAGTAACAAGAGCCTTTGTACTTCACGAAAGAACGTGGGAACGCTGACTTTCTCTGTTTTGCTTATTGGCTAGGTGTGGACAAAGACAGAGCACAAAAAAGAAGAAAGCTAGTAGTAGGGTGGAACATGCAAGACTTAGTCTCCCTCTTGTGTTAGTGGTTATGTGTACAACAGTACAAGTAGCCTTTTGTTTAATCTTGATGGTGGCTATGGTGTTACCAATTCTTATTCAAAAAAATGTTGGCAAAAGGAGGAGGTCAAACCTACTGATAAATGATAATCATGAAGAAACCCAAAATCTTTCGACTTCCCTTGTGAGTTCTGACTATAAGTTGTGGGGTTTATTTATTTATTTCTCCTAAAAAAAGAGAATATCATTGTTTTTTTTTTAAAATTATAAGTTTTATGTCAAATGTTACAGATTAAATAATAAAAATCATAGACCAAGTAGCAAGAGTAACATATTTATAAAAGTTTCAGGCTCATAAAAATATTAAACTTTTATTACTCATCCTGTATTTTAAAAAAATAGTATCATATTTTCTTTTTTGAAGAAAATATCAGAGCGAACCCCTAAATTGTGATTAATAGATTAAACACTTTTCACATTGATTATTAAATTCTATATTTTGAATCTTTTCCTCTCTCTTTTTTCTTTTTCGTGAAATCCTATTTAAAATTTTTTTAATGAAAGAGTTGTTACACTTTTATAAAATTTCTTAACATAAGTGCCATGTGAACATCTCATTTAAACATGATATGAGTGTGCAAGAGAAATAGATAATCCCTTATCAAATAAGGAAAAAAAAAATATGAGAGAAAATAATCACAAAAATAGGAGTGGTGTTGATGAATTATTTTTTTTATATTTAATAAAAGATGTAGTGAATACTCGATGCTCTTGTAGCATTAAAAATATTTTCGATACGAGGGTAATAGAATTTTATATCCATAAATTTTTTATTCCTATCTCCTCCCCTAAGCTATATGATGAGGCTACTTAAAACGCTTTGTTAAAAGGTCTCTCTGCCAGGTCTAACAGATAAGCCTTGAACCTCAAAAAAAAAATTAAAATAAATAGAATGATATTGGTTTACGAGTTTGATTTATTCAAATAATTTTTTATAATGATTCACGTAGCCTATGATTTTTGAGAGAAATTATTTCGTTTTAAATAAATCCATTTTGGTCAACCATAAGGAACAAGTAATTTAGCGTAAAATTACGTTGGTGCTGATGCAAATATCCGAGCTAATTGACCACGTGTACTAATTTTATTTTATTTTACTTTATTTTCTGTAGAAATGTAATTATATTTAAATTTGATAGATGAAAGTCTAAGACAAGCTACCTAGAAACATTCCCTCCATAAATAATGGTTATTATTATTTTAACTGGACGCCCCTGCAGAAAACATGATGGAACGGATTGGGATACTCTAATTATTGTGCTTGATCAAGTCATGTTCTCCGTCGCATAAGATGGCTATTTCCCCTTATCCACTTTATCATTTTACACGATATCAAATAGAGAAATAGTATTTAAATTGTCAAATATACGAGGCTAATAACAACAACTTAGAAGACGAAGATACAGATAAATTTTGATCAAAGAATTCTCATCATGAAAATGCATACCCATAATAAAAGGGTTTTATTAGCAAGCTTTTAAAAGATATAGATGGAAAAAAAAAACATTAAATAATTTTTAAAATAAATTTTCATTCTTTTAAATAATTTTTCAATTATTATTTAGTATCCTTAAAATATTCATTATTAAAAGTCTGAAACTAAATAGTGGTAGAATTATTTTATAGTAATATAAGTTATATTTCCAATTTTAATTGTTAATCTCATTTGAATTTAATGGCTGACCTGATTATTAAATTAAAACCGTTTAGATACATTATATCAATAAAAAAACCATTAAAGTTTTCCAAAAAATAAAAATAAAAATAAAAAATCATTAAATACCAGTAAATTCACGATTAAATCTTCTTACTATTCACAGCCGTATGCAACTATGAGTATTATGTTCAAAATCTTATAGAGAAACATGTTCTACAGTTGTACTACTCTATTTGAACTAAGAATCGAACAAGTCTCGGGAAACGCATTATAACTGAATCAACTAGCTAGTGGTAGTATGTTCTACTAAACGATGTTCATATTACAATTATTTATAGATGCGTTTATTCTCCTGTAAAAGAAAATTTTCTATAGCAAATGATTATAATTATGTATTACGGATAATACATAGTTATAATAATAAATTTGTTTTTTCTCTCTCTTCAAATATTGTTGGCTAACGTGACAAAAAAAAAAAAAAATTATCATTATAATTTATAATTATATATTATCTTTAGTACATAATTAAAATTAATTGCTGCAGAAAATTTTTTGTGTAGTGAAAGAATTATTTATTGCTTTAAAACTTAGTGCAAGTGGGGACAAGGAACTATGTCTACTGAATTTTTTTTTGGAAATCACGCGTTATTGCTTTCAAACTCCAGCTTGGCACACGTTTATAAAAGATTTGGCTACAAAATATTTAATATATTTTAGAAATAAGATGTGGAATGTGTTTAGAATTTAATTAATTGCCAAGTTTCGTATCATAATCTTTCCTTAATTATTAGGTTTATTTAATTATAACTATATTTTTTTATTTTTAGGAGTTTTAATTCTAATTTGTTTGTGATTAGTCATCTTTATTTTTATTTGTAGAAATTTTTCTTATTTTTAGGAAATATATATCTTATTTCCTTATCTTAGTTTTTGCTTTCGATATAGGATTTCAATCTTGTTAGGTTATTTTCTTATCTTAGTAGTAGATTTATTTTTGATTTAGTTTGCATTAGGATTTGATTTTTAATTTGGGTTGTAATTGGTCTATTTATAGGTGAACAAACAATGAGAATACAATAGAGTTTTTGTTCACAAATTTGAGAGTTTTCTCTTTGGTTCTCTAAAGAACTAGCGAACTTATTGGAATTACTCTCTAACATTTTCTAATTCGACTTATCAAATGGATTTTCATCAACGTTTGTGGTGTTTTCGACTATACCGAAATTCTTACCTCTTCATATAT